TTTAAATTAAGATGGACAAGCATAAGAATAACATAAAGTAATGGTAAAAAAAGAACTCTGAATTTAATTTCAGGAGTTAATAAAATCCTAAGAAGCACAAATTAGGAAAAAGGAATACGTTTATTTTCAAATAATATCTATGCAAAAGTTATAGAGAAAAGTAAACCACGTGGGTTTTCAGGGTTCTTTGGGTCTGGTTTTTGAAAGACCCTTGTGATTTTGTTTCTTTTTTTCTGGAAGATCATGCAGCTTTCTGTTTCAAAATACTGTTCTTGTGAAGATAGCTATATCCAACATTCCCATCTTGGAGAATAGTGTATGTGATATCCAGGATGAAATATCACCAAAAGAGTATCTATATGCACACAGTGTTTTAATGAATGTGGAAGATAATTATTTATGACCTTAAATAACCAGAAACATTTTTAAAAATCCATAACTATACATAGGAATTTGTGTATGAAAAAGTCTGTAGTAAAATACTAACATTTTAACTGGCTAACATGTTTACACATGCAGCCAAAGCTTTGGAAAATGACAGCATTGCTGTATTTCTCTGTCAAATGGCCTGTCACAGACTTTAAAATGAAATTTTCAAAGTTAAGCCAGGTTTTAATTGTAAAGTTTATGGATGAACCCGTTAAGAAAAAACACTACAAGGCTACTAAACCCCATAGCCACAAGTCAGTGGGTGTTGGGACAGTACCATCCTGTGTCCTTTCAGTCTTGGCTCAGCAACCACAGTCACAGCCACCAGGAATAGGATGTGGAGGATGCAGTATGCCCAAACTTGGCTGCTCCTGTGTCCATCCTAATGAGGGTCCAAACCTTTTCCTGACTGAGAAAACACTTGAGAACATGCCCAAGTACATCTATAGTCAGCAAAACATTCTAGAATATGCTTACTATTAAGTAAATGATTGGATTGAGAAAATTAAACTTCAGTTCCTCCTTACATTATGTGTACTAAATGCCACATAATGTGGCATTTTTTGCTAAACAATTAGGGATTGACACTTAAAGTCTGACTATTTAGAGTCAGATAAGAGCCATTAGAAAATATCCATAGACAGTGTCTGTTTTATTCACATTTCGAATAATCATACCACTAAATACTTTTAAAAATAAATTGCTCAGTTGGCCAGATCACCTGGGTGCTTAATACATCCAAACCACTTTCCTTGAGAAAGAGATGCATCAGGCAGGAGCTCCAGGACAAAATTTGCTCCAATGCTCCTGAGTTCTGAAATCCATGTTTTCAGACTGTTCACTGGGATTCTGCTGAGGGCATCTGTGGAAGTTTATAACTCTTGGTAAAGAATAAAGATCCTGGTTTATGCAGTACATCCAAGTGGGCTGTTGGTGCAACCCTTCCAGGAGTGAGTGCACAGCACACACCTGGCCAGCCACTGCTGGGAATTGCTGTGGATCTGAGACAGCAGGGAACACACAGTGGAACTGGAGGCAACACTGCTCCCTGTATGACTCTTCCCCATGTGATTACTTATCCAAATTAAGATGCCTTTCCTTAACACGCTGCTACTTTTACAACTACGCATCTGTACATGTGTGGGAAGAAGACAGCACTTAATCCAAACTGTTCTGCATGTGAAAACAAACACATTGAAATTCAGAAGTATTTCTTTAAGGAACAGTAAAAGGCTCTTATCCTCACCCAAAGGAGCAGAAGGTCAAAATGTGCATTTGCAGTACACCCAACTAATGTAACTGCTGTATACAATTCTCTCATTGGAAGGATTTATATTCAAAAAAAGCATGGGGGTTTGCAGAGGAAACCCTGCCTACTTAATCTGATGTCAAAGACAGCTTTGCCTTTGACTTCATCTGGGCCAAGACCTCATCCCATGTGTTTCCAGAGATTCTCTGTGATTCTGCCAACAGTAGCACAACAAGTGGCTCTCAAAAAAGAAACTAACCAAAAAAACCCAAACAGGAAATAGTCTCCAAGGAATATTTCTTTGTGAACTCTTACAATTAAGACTAAATAATAATAACATTGATTCTTGCAGTCTTTTCTCCTCATGCAAAACGAGGCACAACATCCTACATTAAAAGCCTATTTATTTATCTTGTGTTATACCTAGAAGAATTCATGTTGAATTATATCATGGAACTGCAAATCAGTTTCTCATGAAGTTTACTCCCCCTCATAATATGCAGCAACTCCTACATTGTATGTTTGGGGTTTTTATAACTCGAGATATTTAGCTAACACAAAACAGCACTATATTCCATTAGACTTTTCAAAAGTAGTATTTCATCTAGTAATGTGATAAATGATGAAGTATTTAATTATTCCAGAGAGGGGAGTGTTTAATCAAACATAACATAAGGAAAAACCATGAAAGCACCTTTTCTATGCTTTAAAACAGCTAATCCAGCCATTCCCTGATTCCAGCTACAAGTAAATTTTCACTGCTGAATTGTCAAAACTTTCAAACAAGAGAAATACTCACAGTCTCATAAAGATCACATTATAAATAGTCGTGTCCTACCTCCACATTTCTCTCTCTGACTTCATTCCTAGGCAGCACTGAAGAAGCAGCTACAGTCACATGGTGCATTCAAGGTCATGCTATTCTAATTGACAGCGATAGCATTGATAAATTATGCGGAAACAACGATAATGGAGTCATTAACCTTGCTCCAGCACACTAAAGGTGCTTTGCAATTAAAAAGGAGCTAAAAAGTTGCAAAAACATATAAAGATTTTATTGCTCAGCCTTTTCTCTCCTACACACTGCTGCAAAGCACTGTCAGGGAATAGTAATATTGCTGTAACGTGGCTGCCTGTGCTTTGTCAGCGAGGGGCGCAGGGACGCACCGGCTGACACTGGAAGGAGGAGCCAGGTAGTAAAGTGCACAAACCATTGACTTTTTTTTTTTTTTTTCCAATAGGAAGTTGGATCCAGAAGGCCTCTCTCTCTGGCGTAAAGGATGCAGGAGCACTGAAAGATATTCCAGCCAGGAAGTCTTTCTCAGTCCAAGAATCTATGCTGAACTGTCATTTCCAAACACACAGACATGTGGCCAGTGCTTTGAGAACTTGCATTAAAACTGCAGTGAGTTAACATACTGAGCTGAAACTCCTTGGGTATGTAGAGATACAGGTACAGATACATAGAATTAGGTAGAACTCAGAATTTATCCCTTAAGTTTTATGCAGAAGATTGCAGTAATTCCCAGACTAAAAGCCTGACTAGTGTCCCTAATTCATGTATGACAGGTAATTCATTAAGAGTGCACACATTAATGAATCATCAGTGGTTGCTTTGACTTAAGGAGAAATGTTATAAAAACAGTGAAGAGATAGGACATATGATTCACATAGCAACTCAAAGTAACCTTAAGTTTGCCTTATTGTAAAGAATCTATAGGATTTCTGAAACAAAAAAATTGAAATTGGTTTGCTGACAATCTACCCTTATATTCTTGACACTTCAAATGCTGCTTCTTTTTGAACCCAATCGCAGTGAAACCACTCACACTGAAATTATTAATAAAAAGAGGACAGTACAGAGCAGCTTTCCTGGAGTTCAGGTGCCCAAAGATGACCCTACACTGGCAAGACAGAATCCATTATAGTAATTTTTAATCTTCACTTATCACATGAACTCTTTTGTCTCCCTGCACAGCCTGACTGTCAAGATATGATCTACAGCATATTGCACAACTTACCTATAAGAACAAATAAAAAGGTCCCAGATCATATCTGTATATATGAGGCTTGACCTCATGGAGATAACGGAACAGACAATAAAGTACATTCTGAAGGCCTGGGTGGAAATCAGATTCTTTCTACTGGTTCTGTCATGTCTGGATAAACTAATAACTAGCATATTCTTCAAGCATTCAGAAGTATCGCAAATTATATTTTAAACAATAAACCGACAATTCCAAAGAGGAAGCAAAATTGCCAAATTATACCCAGTGTCAGAGAGATTCTCCTCTGTGTCCTCTGAACACAGGCTGACGGCTGGAGTTGCAGAGCACAAGCGCCTGTGATGCATGGTATCTAAAAACTTCCCACCGCAGAAATTCCCAAGTTTTCAATGGCTGGGCTCGCTGCCCGGCTGGAATGCGTACTTGAGCGATACGCCCACAGCCGCTGCACCACCCATAGCCCAGGAGCACCTACGGACTCGGCTCCCAGAGCAGCTCCTGTGCTCCAGAAACGCTGCTGGGGTAGCAGAAACCTCCTCGGGAACGTTCAGCTGCAGAGAACTCAGCATAGTTTAGAGGGCAGAAACAAACATGTAAACAGCATCTGTGGCGTCTCTTCTCTATTGACTTTCCTGGAAACGCATTAACCTATTACAGTACTTCAAAATAAATAAGCGAAACAGAGGCGAGGCAAGAGTGCACCGTTCTCTCCCAAAAGTTTATTTCTGCCTGTCCCCTCACTTGCTCTGAGCTTCCCTGGGATTAGCGATCGTTTTCACCAGGGATCAAATGAATGACTTTTCCGCTAATGACACTTAAGAGATGCTGAAGGCACCCTGGGCGCCACCAGGGACCCGGCGGGTGGCGGCAGCCCCTGTCCCCACGCCAAGGAGCGCAGAGAGAGGCGAAGCCAAGGGCAAGCCCCGCTCCGCACCGGCCCCGGCCGCCGCTCCGGCCCCTGGCAGCAGCAGCGACCGGAGGGGCGGCGGGACCGGGGCCGGCGGCTCGGGCCGGGCCGGGCCGGGCCGGGCCGGGCGGATCCGTCCCCGTGAGAGCGGGGCTGCAGGGGGTGCTGCCGCCGCCCCCCGCCCGCCCCCCGGCATGGCGAAGCGCTGTCACTGACGCACATTTAATTCGCCCGGCTGCGGGTACCGCGCAGCGCCGCTCGCATCCTCCCCCCGCCGCCGGGGAGGGGGCGGCTCCGGCGGGGAGGGGGAAAGTCAAACTGCAGCAACAAAGTTGCTCCCCCTCCGCTCCCCCAGACCTGCCCCGGCCCCCGGGGGGTGGGCAGGGAGGGGGGCCCGTGCCTGCCTTACCTTGCTTGACGCACTTGAGGCGGATGGGGTCCTTGCAGTGCTTGATCACGGCCAGCACATCCCTGATGGTGAGCCCGGCCACGGGGGTCTCGTTCACCTCCAGCAGCAGCTCCTCCGGCACCAACTTGCTGCCGCCCTCATAGGCCACCTTGCCGGGCTTCACTTCCCCCAGGTAGGGGAACTGCCCATTCTCGGCGCCCCCCTTCAGCTCGAAGCCCAGCTGTCCCTCCGGGTTCCTCACGATCACGATCTCGTGGACTCTGCTCGTCCAGTGGCTTTTTTTCTTCAAGCCCTTGGACATTGCCGTGGGGATGCTCTGCCCGACTCCCTCCCTGCAGTCTTGTGCTTCTTCCCCCCGTCCCTCTGTGCCCCCAGTCCCCGGGGCAGCCGCGCTCCTCCGGGCAGGCTCGGGGCGGGCGGAGCGGCCGCGGCTGTGCCGGCCGGCGGCCCCGCGGGCTGCAGCTGGGTCGGGGAGCGCCTCAGTGCCCGCTGCTCCCGGCTTTAGCTGATATCCATGGCAGCCGCGGCGGCCGGACCCTGCCTGCGCGTGGATGCACTAGTTGTAGAGAAACTGGCAGGAGGGAGGAGGGAGGAGGGAGGGAGGCAGCGGGAGGGAGGGGACGGCCGCGGCGCGGGGAGGAGGAGGAGGGCTGTCGGTGTCGGTGCCGGAGCGAGGCGGGCGCTGTTTCGCCGCTCCCGCCTCGCCTGACCCGGTAGTGAAGGCCGAGAGAGAGGCTGCCTGGCACGGCCGGCAGAAGGCGGAGAGCGGCCCGGGCGGGGGGGCCAGGGCGCTCTGCGAGCGGGAGGGAGAGCGGCGACCTCCGCCCGGCCCCAGCGCGGCCCCGGCCGGGAGGGGGCGCTCGGGAGAGCTGGGGCGCTGGCCCCGCCGCCTGCCCCGCCCGACCGACACTGACCGATACCGCGCTGGACACTGCCTGGCACCGGCCCGGCCCGGCCCGGCCGGACAGTGCCCAGCACCGCCCCGGCAGACACTGACCAGCGTCTTTCCCTGGCCGGACACTGACCAGCACCGCCCCGGCCCGGCCGGACACTGGCCAGCGCCTTCCCCCCTCTGGACACACTGCCTGGCACGCCTCGGCCCGGCCGGACACTGCCCGGTACCGCCCCGGCCCGGCCCGGCACCGCCCCGCCCCGCCCCTGTGAGGGGAGCGGCAGCCCTCGAACAGTCCGGGGCACCGCTGGGGGAGCTGCCCGAGCCGGAGCGGGAAGGGTCCTGCGGATCAGGAACTCTGCTTGCGGCCGGGAAGCACCAAAGGCAGCTGGGCTTTGGCTGTGGCTGCAAAGCCGAGAGACATCTGCTTGCTTCGGGGAATCTCCGTGTCAGGGGCGTTTGCTGCAGAGTTATTTCACTCCATGCGAAAACCTCAGCTCATTGAGTTGCACATGGGCATTGTTGTTTACGCTGGGTGCTGAGCCCAGAGCTGATGGCTCAGGAGGGTGCTACACCTGAAGAGGGTATGACAAAGAGAAGGGTGGCAGTTCTTCTCCTTGAATTTACTGTCACCCAGCAAGTGTTCACCACCCTCACACCGGTTGCCTTCTGCTACTTGTCCTTAGCCAAAATCCCACCCTCCAGCCTGCAGACCCTCCTGGAGCCCCAGCAGTGGGATGCACTGTTCAGCATATACTGTACCTCAATCCTCCTGTGAGCTCCCCCTTTGCGTAGTTCTGTCATATGCCTCATGTGTGAGAGCAGTGAGTGTGGCAATAGGCATGTCTTTCTAGGAAACTTGCCTTGACGAAAAAAATAGTTTCCATCCCAAGTGGAGGTTGACAAAAAACACTCAGAACAACATCCTGACTTTAGGAAATGTAGTTTTTGAGCCTGCAGGGTATAGAGCAGGATACATGAAGGCAGGGGTCTGCAGACAGGGCATTAAATGGGAAAAGGCAGGAGAAATGTACTTTGCGTTATGGCATGTGATTTAAAGATGGTCAGATATTTTTGAAATTTCAATTAAAGTGACTCCGCAATGAAATTTTCCAAATTGTGCCGCTGTTTTTCTCTTGGTTTCTATGGAAACAGGCCTTTATGTGATCATGCTTGGCTGTGTCTCCTTTACTTCTCCAATAACTTTTGAAGCTGTTGGGCAGTTTCACCCAAATCTATCTCAAATATAATTAAGCTATTTCATGAAAACAGGCAGCTGAGTAGGGCTGAGAGATCCTGTAAATGTCCCAAAGGCTGTAACATGAACTTGCCTCTTATTAAACAGTGATTCACATGGTTGAGAGACCATATAAATGTCTTGGTAATGAGAAAAGTTTCAATTACAGCTCATTATCAGCCTCACTATAAGTCTGTGGGAAAACAGGGTTCTTCAGTCCATTTTCCCTCAGAACTACTCGAGTTCCAGAGGGGTAGAAAGACACATGCAGAGGGGAAGAAAACTTTGAGAAATTGCTGACATCTGTATTTGCAAGTCATTCCACCTGTTTTGCTGTGGGGGCCTGGTCAGAAGTGCAAAGCTCTGTGTGTGAGTGGCTTCACGAAAGTGGGCTCAAAGGATAAAGAAACCAAGACCCCAGATATTTGGAAACATGAGATGCATAAGTACAGACAGCTGAAGATGAGAGGGGATCTGGGAAGATGTCTTGACTGGAAGGTACTGAGATGTTTTCGCTGGTGGGACAAGGGTTATGTAACAAGGGCTCCTTTTCCAAAGACCATCATGAATGTCCTGTTGTCACTGGGAAGCAGGAGCTCTGGTCTGACAAAAAGAGGTCAGTAGGTAGCCCTGTAGAGTCTTTCTGTAGCCCTGCCTTTTCAATTTGTCTTGGTTTTTAGTTCAGAAATGGGGTAGGAACGAAATGGCTGAAAAGAGGAATGCAAGACACAACATCCCATTATCCTTCCTATGTTTTACCAAAATCACTTCTTTGCTGAGTCATCTGCTCTACTAAAGTCCACTCTTTAAAAGTGGTCACCATTTCTTAATTTGGAGTTTGTAGTCATTCTGCTAGTAGAGTATTGCTGTTGTTGATTTGTCTTATAATTAAAATAAATTTTTAAGTAAGTCCATGTTTACCACAATATATATACAACGCTAGGACATCTGCCAAAAATACAGCTCTTAGTAAATATGTCAAGAAATATTGGAAATATCCCTAGATGGGGGAAGGGCATGTTGTGGTTGTTACTTTTCTTAGGAGTCTCTAGTAAAGTATTGATCAGAGTTTTTAAAATGCTCATTACCATTTTAAGACAGATGACTTTAACGGTAGGTAATGGATAGAGCATTTCTGATTTCACATGTGCTATGGAAAAACCCAGCTGAATAAACCCTTAATGTCTAACTGCAGTTGTATTAATCTAAAATAATAACATGTAGAAGTGGTGGAATTGGTGTTGCAGTGGCATTAACTTGGAGGGCAGCAATGTGAGCCAGGCAGATCCTAGCACAGGCATCTGCAGTTTGGCAGAGAAGTGGGAGATTAGATGGAAGGAGCCTTAGCAGTTTTCCCAAAGCAGATCTGTGTGTTTGTTGCTTGATCCTCGTGTCAGGAAAAGATGGCAGTTTCCAGGTTCAGGGACCAAGAAAACTTGGTGAGGAGGATGGCAGCCATACCTGTTAAGAACAGGAGGGAGTGAAGGATGGCTGAAGATTGGTGTTCCTCTGCAGCATTTTCTTACAGGAGCCATAAGATTTTAGGGTTTTGAGTTGACTGTTTATGAGTGAAATTTTGGCATCATCTCATAGCTGGCTTATTTGCTTTGGGCCTAGGGCAGTAATACCAGAAACGCATAGCTTGCTTTGCACCATTTCAGCTCATTTTGTTTAATTTTTACAGGGGTAGAGGGTTATCTGTGCAACCAGATTATTCTTGTCTCTGACAGAGCAGGCACCCCAGCATGTGGCTGAAGAAGTGAGTGAGCAGATTTACTGTCTGACCCCTGAAGAGCTAAAAAAGCACTTTGTGATTTGCCAAGACCTTTCTGTTATTCCCTTCCATTGGTTCATCCCAGGAGGGCCTGTGAGCTGGTCCTGAGTGTGAATGTAAGGGTATCTAACACAAGGGATTTCCTTGAGCAAAAGTAACAACAGCATATAATGAAACACATTCAGCAAACAACACAAATGCCTTTATTATTCCTTTAAATCTGCGCCTGTAAACACAGGAACCAGTAAGTCACTGTACATTTGGGAGTAAAGTTGAGCACATGAGTAAGCTGAAGCGTGAGACTTCATAAATATATTTGGTAGCTGGAAAGGAATCCTTCCTACTGTAACATTACAGATTCAGTAAAAAAGTAACTGAATTCTGGTTTTATTTTCAGTATGCCATGTTTTTAGATAAGTGAATTCCTCAGACAGAAAATGATGTATTGCACATGCCAAAGGGGATAAAAAGAAAATACATCCATTATCTTCTATTATTTATGCAGGAATGGAGTTCTCTGCCTTGTAATTGTGTTTGTAATGTTGGACTTGAACTCAGAAGACATTAAATTTCCTTCTTCAGCACATGCTTCCTGTGTGACTGGATGATAACAACATGATATTGCTCTCTCATTTTTTCCATTTTAGTATGGGCATAATTCCTCTTTTCTCTACAGTTTTCTATTTAACATGTCAGCCACCCAACAATTATTCTTAAATAAGCTTCTCAACGCTACAATATAAATTCATCATAGGACATGTATTCATCTAGGGCCAGGAATTCAGGTGATTAAATCCAAAATCATAAATATTTTCCCTGTACCTTTAGTTACCTGAAAAGTTTGTAATAGATTATCTTCCCATCAGTGGAGCTTCAGAGTGTCTTAGTTGATTTCTTCTGCTTGGAGTTCTAAATGTTCTCCTTGGGATTCTGCAAAAATGCCAAGTCCTTTATTTCTTTGGATAAAAACAAAAAATTCCTAATATTCTCAGCTGCAAATTTCACCAAAAAACCACTAGAAATTTGTTACCACATTTACTACAGTCACACATGTCTTCTGTGAGTCTTAGTTTTATTAGTATAAGTCTAGAGTTATTTCTAGTATAATCTTTTCCCATTTCCTGACTTCAGCTTTTAAGAACACTTGCTTTAGAAAGGCTAATACCTCAGGCTATTTATCTAAAAATTCTTTTCCCAAGTCCTCCAAATTCTCAAGTTTGATAAAAAATACATGTTTTATAGTACTACAGAGAAAAAAAAAGAATTATTGTGTGTGTTTTGTTGGGTTTTTATTTGTCTTAGATCAAAATGTTCCATAGTCTTGGCCATCAGTGTTTCAAAATAATTTGTTATTTAATTTTAAACATCAACATTGTAAATCATACATCTGGCAAAAAATGCAAACTAATGGGTAATACTGAGCTGTCTCAACCCATTGGAGGATTCCGGTTTTGGCAATAGCTCTTGCAGAGGCCAAATGTGATCACTTCTGCATGGGAAGAAAATAGTCTCTATGGCTGTATTGGAGGAAAAAGGCAACATTTGGGAGCAGAGAAAAATCAAAGACTGAAGTTCATCTAAATGGTATTGTTTACAACAGGTTTATAAGATTGCAGGAAACATTTTGTTCTCTCCTGCTCATCTCTGTTGGCTTTTGTTTTAAAATAATCTTTC